CTAAAGTTGTAAGGATCTCAGTAATTGATCCCTACTACACTGATTCTTCCAATGATGAAGACGGCTGCATTGGTCGTTGTTGTAGGGTCAAAAAGTACATCAACTAGATCGTATTCAAGCCTCTCCCTTTAGAAGAAAACATTAACGGTGATAGGAATGTAAAAGAAAAACCTAGCAGCAAAATGTAGTAGGGAACAAGAGAAAAAACAAAGGCACAGAAAAAGCAGAATATAAAGATGAGAGCACGCAAAAGAAGTTTCGTGGTGTGTATCAGTGGCGTTGGGGCAACTAGGTAGTAGAGAAAAGAGATCCTATGAAATGGAAATGGGTGTGGCTTGGTACTTGTGCTACAGCAGAAGAAGCTACAATGGCTTATGATCATGAAGCTATTTAGTTTCATGGACCCAAAGCAATCACAAACTTTATCCCACCACCGCAAGTTAAAGATGAACTCTCAAGCATCAAGCATCACAAGTCCAAGCTCTCCCCTCACTACAAGAAATTTGGCCTTTTGTGACAACATTCTCTGTGACAAGAGAGAAAGTTGTCACAATTGAAAACTTTAGCGACGACTTTTAATATCGTCATACTTGATCGTGGGTTCACCCGTCAACAGTGACAACACGAGATAAATCGTCACAATATGGATGGCGTGCAACTATCCAGTGTGGCGGGAGATCACCGTTGTGACGACTAGAAAACATGTTGTCACTGAAACGCGTCCTACAGTAACAACTTAAAATATCGTCACAATATGATTGCTAGTTCTAAATTAGTGACAACAACTAGTCGTCACTGTCCAAATCATTTATTCCCATCTCACTTTCGCTAATTCTACTATATCACCCTAATATTTTCAATATGACCCATATGTTGTAAATAAGTTTTATTAATTCTACCATGACACCCTAATTTTTACATTTTGACCCCATATACCACCTTAATTTTTTTAATATGACCCATGTGTTGTAAATAAATTTTATTAATTTTGCTATGACACCCTAACTTTTACATTTTAACCCCATATACCATCTTAATTTTTTGAATATGGCCCATGTGTTGTAAATAAATTTTATTAATTCAACTATGACACCCTAACTTTTACATTTTGACCAAATATACCACCTTAATTTTTTCAATATGACCCATGTGTTGTAAACAAATTTTATTAATTCTACTATGACACCCTAACTTTTATATTTTAACCCCATATACCACCTTGATTTTTTCTATATGGCCCATACGCTGCAAGTAAATTTAATTAATTATATTATGACACTCGAACTTTTACATTTTAGCCCCGTATTTGGTAAACTAATCTCATTAACTCTACCATGACACCTTATCTTTTGCAATTTAGTCTCGCATGTGATAAAGAAAATTTTTATTAATTTTATTATGCCACCCTATGCTTTTACACTTTAAGTTGTGTTTATCATTAGCAAATGAGGAATATATTGTAAAAAACAATGTTTACCTATTTTTCAATTATTCCAAACATAGCTAATACCTTGTTATAAAGTTAAAAAATATCATGAATTCTTTATTTAGTTCTCTTGACAACATATAGGAAATTACTTATTCACATAGTGTGAAAATAATGGAACAGAATAATAAAATTTAATATGAAATTAAGTAAAAATCTTGACAATTCCATGACTGGAGTTTGTTATGTATTACAATTTACAATAATCAAATTGTTTATGGTTTATGAATCAGTACATGTATCAAATAGATTTAGTGTTTCATGCATGTATTAGTAAACCATTTTGGTTATTTGATCAACTAAACAGATTGTTTGGTCTTGTTAGATTACAATTCGTGCATAATTGATAAAATTATTAAATTGATACAAAAAATATTTGCATTAAAATATTTTTTTTAGAATTTAGAATCATAAACATATTTTTAAAGTGTTTGTTCCTAACTCACTTTCATTATTTCTACTATGCCACCCTAATTTTTTCAATGTGGCTTATATGTGATAAATAAATTTTATTAATCTTATTATGACACCCTAAATTTTACATTTTAGCCCCATATGTAATAAACTGATTCCATTAACTCTATCATGACACCTTATCTTTTACAATTTAGTCTCGTATGTGATAAATCGATTTCATTAATTCTATTGTGGCACCCTATCCTTTACACTTTAGTTGATGTTTTTCATTAGCAAAATGAGAAAGATATTGTAATAAAAAATATATACATATTTTTAAAATTGTTCCAACCTTAGTTAATAACTTTTCCGAACTTAGCTAAGGTTAAAAAATATCATGGATTCCCTATCTATTGTCTTGACAACACATGAAAAATTATTGACTAGCATAGTGTAAAAATAATGGCAAAGAACAATAAAATTCAACATGAAATTAAGTAAAATCTTGACAATAGCATGGTTGGAGTTTATTATTAATTACAATAATCACATTATTTATGGTTTATAAGTCGATATTTGTACCAAATACATTTAGTGTTTCATGCATGTATTAGCAAACTATTTTGGTTAATTGATCAACTAAACAGATTATTAGGTCTTGTCAGACCACAATTTCGTACATAATTAATAAAATTATTAAATTAATACCAAAAATATTTGCATTAAAAGATGTTTTTGAATCATAAACATAATAAGACACTAAATATTTCAAAAACACTAAATTAATCCCAAAAACACTAAATTTTCAAAGCTTTAATGTAACAAATAAAGTTCCAGATACAACTTGTGAAGTAAAAAAGCTCAAAATAATAACCTTATTGTTGCAATTTTTTTTTAACAATAATTTGATCAATTAGCCGTACAAAAGAGGATGAAAGTGTTATTTTTTGGTCTTAGCTAAAATAGAAGCGGGAAGCTGAAAATTGAAGTACAGGCAGGTGAACAAAAGAAGCAGAAACGACATAGTTTTGGCTTTGTTGTTTGATAAAAACACTCACAACATTTAGCAAAAATTTCAGACAAAATTTTCTTTCCCTCTTCTTGCCAGTTTTGGACACTATCATCTTCTTCTTCTCTCCACTACCATCTTGTTGAAATTATCCAAAAAACCACTTTGAGCCACCATTTTCATCCCTAATTTGAGCTACCCAAAAAATTTGTGTGTATTTTGTGGAGTTGCAGATATCAAAAATCCCTAGATCGGTGCAGCAAAAATCCCTAATCAGCAGGAGGAGCTGCTGCACAATCGGGTCACCGGAGGCCGCCTAGAGTTCATTTTGTTATCTCTCTGCCTCTCTCTCCGTCGTCGTCGTTCCACTTCATGTTTTCCGCCAGTTTTCAACTGCCTGTCAAAAAGCACTACTCCTGCCCACTGCCACGGTCCCTCGGAGGCCGCTTCTTACAGTCAAGTCTTAGACAAATGGCCAGATATCAGAACCTTGAAAAAAATCCACAGCAAGATCGTCTTACATCTGAACCTCAACTCCTGCATTTCCTTTGGCATCAAGTTGATGCGGGCCTATGCTGCTCGTGGCCAAACCAGTATTACCCGCCAGATATTCGATAGAATTCCCGAGAGAAATGTCGTGATTTTTAATGTTATGATTAGAAGCTACATCAACAACCATCTTTATCATGATGCTCTCTTCATGTTTAAGAGCATGAATTCGAGTAACACGAACCCTGATTATTATATATTCCCCTGCATTCTAAAAGCTTGCTTTGCCTCTATGGATCTGCGGGTTGGCTTGCAAGTTCATACCCAAGTCTTGAAAATGAATCTTGATGGAAATTTATATGTAAGGAATGGTCTAATAGCCATGTATGGGAAATGTGGGAGTTTGACGGGTGCTCGTTCTGTCCTAGACGAGATGCCCAGGAGAGATGTTGTCTCTTGGAACTCAATGGTCGTTGGATAATAGCGAAAAAAGATTTTAATTTGGCGAAGCATCCCGAGATCGATGTCCCAAACTTGCAGGTGATTAAGCTGATGCAGAGCTTTAAGTCCAAGGAGAACGTCCGGGAAACCTTCGCTTGGATGCATTACTACTGGTATCTTACGAACGACGGCATCGAGTTCCTGAGGACTTACCTCAATCTTCCCTCTGAAATTATTCTTGCTACTCTTAAGAAGTCCGCCAAGCCCCTCGATCGTCCTATGGGTGGACCTCCTGGTGACCGCCCTCGCGGACCACCAAGGTTTGATGGGGATAGGCCCAGATTTGGGAACAGGGAGGGGTATCGTGCTGGTCTCGTGGACCTCCTGGTGAGTTTGGTGGTGAGAAAAGTGGAGCTCCTGTGGACTACCAGCATGCTTTCAGGGGTTCTGGTGGAAGGCCTGGCTTTGGCCGTGGATCTGGAGGTATGGTTCAACACCACCAAGTTCAAGCTTCTCTTAGATTCATGTTTTGCTAAATTATGTTATTTGCAATTTAGGCTCTCAGATGTTGCAGTTGAAAGTTATGCATGTTGAGATACGTAGTTGATTGAGACTTATCTATAGTTTTGGTTGCTCTAGGTCTTCAAATCAATCTAAGGAATTTCTTAAAAACATGTGGTGGCACCTTTTTTCTGGTGGGGTTCCGTGGGTTTTGCTCATTATTATTGTTATTATTTGCTTCTGAAGCTGAGACCATGTCCATCATGAGGAAGCAAATGCAGACTGCAGAGAGACGGAGGAGGAGGAAAATGGGAAAAGGAATGATGAAAGTTGGAAGGAGGACAAGAAATGGCAGCAGTCAAGGGACCGGATACAATGGGAAATCACGTTAGGAGGTTTATTGTTTGGACAAAATCAGCATTTGAGAAATTGGATGAGATTTACAGGTCATTTGATAGAGGATTAAAGCAGTCATCTGGTAAACTTGAGTTATTAAAGCATTTCTACAATCTTAAGATATTAACTATATATGTCAGGCTGCTATTTGAGATGCAAATTTCTTTTGCATCTGTTACATAGAAACTTTCTTCAAGTGAAGAACATTTAACTATTGAACTTTGATAAAGATATGAGTAGGGTAAGGGCGAATATATACATCAACACTGAAAAGCCGGTATTTATTACAAAAGGCAAAGACAACAAAGCAGTTATTGCAAGTAATATAATGTTAGATGTTAAACTGCATTTTCATTCTGATAGAGTAGGTAGCAGTAACTAGGCATTCTTATATGATAACTTTATCTCAGTTAACTATTTGCAAATGAAATTTATTTAGGCAAATGACCATGAACTCCAGTTTTCCATGGTTGATGGTGATTTCAAGAAGTTTGAAGGAAAATGGTCTGTCAAATCTGGTAAAAGGTAAATTCTGGTGTACCATATTTTGCATCTCCTTCCTGGTGATGTGTGTTTCTGAGGATGATTAAAGACTCAAGTATCATTTGGTTCTTAACATTTTTGGCAATCCATGCTGGTTATCCATCTCAACTATTGCATGAAAATGTAGCCTCTTTAGTTTTGGAGTCTTTATTCAACTAAAATGATATTGTTTACCTTTACATAGCACTGGTAAACATCTTTAGTGCCTAGACTATTGTCTACTGCTTTAATGCCTAAAGGAGTCAGATTTTGTCTACAGCCAAAATGCATTTCCAAATAATGTTGGACATTTTTAGACTAACTTGAGGCACTAAATAGTTATAATATTATTAAAGCAGTGCCTAGTTTTAATTGTACATAGTTTTAATTGCAGCAAATGATGTGAAAAATTTAATAACTGGATTTGTCAAACATTTGAGGTTGTAAGGGTATTTTCTTTTTTTCTTTCAGATAGTCTAAGCAATCAATGGTTGAATGTTCTTGCACTTGATTAATTTTGTCGCAGAAACTCTCTACTTTGCAATGATGTCTACTATTTTCTAACATTTTTTAGTTTGACAATGGTAGTAGTAGCATAAAAGAGTACCATGTTCGAGGCTTTGCAGTTTCCCCCTAATTCTTGCGTTAGTCATATCAGATCTGTCAAAATCTTCATCAAGTTTTATCAATCTGCTATATTGAGAAGAATCAAAGTTGTGATGATTAACAAGGATCCTGACAAGTAACAAAATTCTAGGACTTCTTTTTGTGTGCCTAAGATGTTGTCAAATTTAATAGTTTGATGGTCATATTTTGATCAGCTATTGATTTGTTAAATTAAGTGGCGTTTATTAGATCAGCTATTAAATTAAGTGGAGTTCAAGGATGAACACTATCACACACATGAGTTTTCTTGATGAATGGATTCACCTTGTCAAATTTATCTTGCATCGAGCCTCCAGTGATGAAGAGTCTAGCTATAAAACTGATAAACGCCTATAAAGTATATATTTTCCATTATATAAGCAGCGAATGTCCTAATAATTAGAGTTAGATTTTAGAAGAAATAACAGCATTTTTAGAGGTGGGGACACCTGGGAAAATTTGTGTGTTATTATCTAGAAGTAGTCCCATTCCTCAAGGTCTGAGTAAAGCATGTTAAAGTAGCGACATGTACTGCTTTTTCATGCTTGATATAAGTGGTACAGGAAGACATTTTTATTTGGCCGAAGTTGGTTGCTAATCGGTAGTTCAAGACTTTGGCACTCAGATTACACTTTTTCTAGAGGGAATGGAATGGGTCCTGTTTTCGGCTTCAATTAAATAGAAAAGAGCGCTATCTTCGAGGTCATAGATGAGAGTTGACAAGATAGAAAATGGAACCAGATTATGAATTAGGATGAGAAACTATTGTTTGTACTTTCAACTTCCTTAGTGGGAGATGTCTGTGATAAAAATCATGGAGCCATGTTTTGAAGCATACTTTTGTTTGCAGGTCGTGCTAACTCCGACACATTTAGCTATTGTGATGGAATATGCTGCTGGTGGAGAGCTCTTTGCAAAAATTTGTAGTGCTGGTGGATTCAATGAAGATGAGGTGTAAACACATGCAAAATATATTTCGTTTGCCTTGATCTCAATTTCTTTTGGCATTGATTTTATAGAGAGATACTTATGGGACTTTCTTATTGTTAAAACGCAGGCTCGCTTTTTCTTCCAGTAATTAATATCTGGTGTTAGTTCCTGTCATTCAATGGTGAGATATTAGAACTATTTATTCTTTTTGAGTCCTCTTATTATTATCTCATTGTTCTCTCAATGCAGGAAATCTGTCACATGGACTTGAACTAGAAAACACACTTTTGGATGGGAGTCCAACACCACATCTTAAAATATGTAATTTTGGTTATTCTAAGGTTACAAATCTTTGCATTTGGAATTAAAAAAAAATGTGATTCAATTGACTTCATATTTTTTTCTGTGGATAATTTGAAATTTTGTTGGTTTTTGGCATTTACTTGCAGACTGATTTGTTGCACTCACAACCCAAATCGGCGGTTGGAACACCAGCATATATTGCACTTGAGGTCCTGTCAAGGAAGGAATATGATGGGAAGGTCTGTATCATCAAAATTCTTGAAGAATTTACAGAGATTCTCTCCCTCTGAGCATTAGTTTCCTCTTCTAGTTAACTGTTCACGATGATAGTATAATGGAATTTCCTCCCTTTTACTGTGATATGGTATTACTAGATTGACTAGTATCCCCAACTTGCATCCAAACATAGTCAAAAGTAGTAGTACTGTGATGAGCAACTTTAGGGGAAGACCCTTCTAGACCCTCCCAACCTTGTAATTATCAGAGTTGGATCTTTTCTCCCAATGAAAATTGAACTCTGTTGTTCTCATGAATTCAAGACCTCTGACACACAAAGGTAATCAGCAACCTTAAGCAAATAAAGATGGATGAAGAGACACCACGATTAGGGAACAAACTAATCGATAAAGTCTGATTTGAACCCTAAGCTATGAACTCAAGAATTCAAGAGTAAATTCGATTAAGAACTTAAAAGAAAATTCCTCACGATTTTTGGTTGTAACAATCTGTTTTTCACTCATACAATAGGTGCCTTTTATAGGTTAAAATTAGGGCAAATCCAGCCCACATAAACCTGAAATAGGAATTCGGTCCGCATAAAGAGCCGGCTCTTTAAAGCTTCCCGATAAGGCCCAATAAGTAATAAAAATACTCAACGACTAACAACTACTAAACTAGCCAGTCTTAAAACAACTACCAACTAGACTAACAAATATGAGGTCATTCTTTCACTTCAAACGTACAAGTGAACAGGGTAACTTCATGGTCTATCAAATTTTCAAACTTAGCTTGCTCCTTGCTCATATGGTGAATGATCAAAGCTCGTAAAGCTTTCTTCACCTTTTTGGATCTTGACCTTGTCATCGGACCACCAATGTTGATCAAAGGATCCTTGACCCAAGGTTGAAGTTGTTGCGCACCCGTATCCGCATTATTCCCTCTCTCCTCGAAAGGATTCATCCTCGAATCTTCAAAGTCTCCTCTTGCAAGTGGTTTGTTCACAAATCAATGGTGCGCTTAAAGGGTAGCAATGTTGGAAATAGATGAGTGACTACGAGCCATGTTGCATGTCGTTTGGTCAGTTTCGGGAAGCTCTCAAACAAGGACATGCGCCAAGGTAGGAAAGAGCTTGTGTAAGGCGTGTGAAAACCTCAAGTGACAATCCAAAACTCTCTGATTAGCCTTTGGTCATGGATCTTCACATTGACACCTTGATTGTGTAAAGGTGTAAAATCCAGCACTAGTTGACATTGATTTGAATCATCTTGTAAGGATAAAATGGGAGCAACTTGTTGCACGGATGAGGCACTAAAAAACTTGTGGAGGACAGTTTTGGGATCTTGTGTCACACACAATTTCTCATCTTTCAATATATAAGGTAACAAACAATTGAATTCCACTTCATGAGGGTTACTCGAACTAGCACAAGTTGAAGTTGACAAATTGAGCACTTGGCCACCAACTTTTGGCTGTGTGAATAAGCATAAAAGATCACCACCTTTAGTTGGAATAAGCACGAAATCAGGTTGCAAGTCTTTAATTAAAACTGAAAAATTTTGGACAGCTTTACAACCTACAAAAACAAAATAACCTTCAACTTGAAACAAATTAGAAATTGGGTAAAGAAATAATGGTATATCATCAATTAAATTATAAGAAAATATAAAACAAGTTTTAAGTGTGAAAACTCCATTTGACACTTCATCATTCCTTTCACCAATTGATTCAACTTGAGAAGGCATTGCTAGCCTTTTATACTTTCCTTCAAAATCTGCATAAGAAATACAAGTGTTATGATAGAAATTATACTCGAAAGAAGGTAAAGATGATGAATGAGCCATAGTTAGCAAATGAGAGTCAAAATTTGGAATTCTCCCTTGATGATGGATTTGACTTGATTCCCCTTTGGTATGGACAGATTTGAATTGAAATTGTTCCATGAGATGATTTCAAATAGATTTAATTCCTAAAAGACAAACTCCATGGAAGATAGTGAATTGTACAAGTGACTTTGGAATGGAGCATAGCATGACTAACTTCACTTGACTTTGCTTAATCTGCATAAACGAAGAAACACTAAATAAACCCAAGGTAAGTTCATTAGAAAAACAATAAACTCTCACATTTTTGCTCAAAATCGGCTCACTTTCTCTTTTTCTTCCTTTTTACCACTCATCTTATCAGATTTTTCCATCTCTTTATCTAGCTTAACGCCCTCGATTGCTTTCTCATTATCAACCACCTCAACAAATGGTTCAATAGGATGAGATACTCCTTTGTTGGGAATAGGGTCAGCTCCCTCCTTCTTAGAAAACTCACTTTGATAGCATTCATTTGACTCCATTTGTTTTTGGTGTAGAAGACGTTGATATGTCTCCCAAAATGACTCCTCATGAGGTGATTCAACTCTAGGTTTAGGCTTAGAAAATGTTGAATGAACCTTCTTATCACCTCTTGTATAAACCAGCTTTAAAGAGGTAGATGGCATGGAACCCCTCCTCTTGAGAGATTCGTTCTCTCGTTGGAGCCAATTGTACAAGTCCGCAGTATAATGGAAGGGTACAAATCGTTTCCTTATCACTTGCTTCATTTCAATCCAAATGTCAATTGGTTGTTTCCTATTTCTCCTGCTTGTGGCACATACTTGCTCCCACCAAATAGATGCATAATCTTGAAATTCAATAGCTGCAAGTTTCACCTTTTTCTCTTCAGAGTAGTTGTGGACTTCAAACACTTGCTCAACTCGCCTAACCCAATCCAAGTAAGATTCAGGATTATTTTTCCCATGAAAAGTAGGCATCTTGGTTTTGATGGAACCAAAATTGTTATCGGTTCTCCTAGGTCGGTCTCGACCTTCCCTCACTCCCCTTTGACTTTTCCTTGATCGAAAGGAGGTGTTAGAATGATATCCTTCATCATCCGCATCATGATCAGCACTCTGAACACTCGAAATCCTATTGTATGTATCTCCGATACCTCGCATCTCAATGGCAGCCAACCTGTCAGATATTTGTGTCATCACAACTTCATGTCTCTCCGCTTGTTTTTGAAGAACTTGGAGCACCAGTTTGAGTGATATGTCGGTCTCAGACGGCTCAGGCATGTTTCTCTCTTGAGACATATTGTCCAACCTGCAAAACAAGTGTATCCTAGTCTACCTTGCAAGCACTCGTGTATCACTTAACGGAACACACTCACTCTCAATTTTTCTTTTTGAAGTTCTTAAAACAACTCAAACTCTCAAAAATTTCAGAATTAATTACCCTATAAGCAAGTAACAAGACATAAAGCAGAATTTTGCAAATCTTAGAAAAACTCTACCCGAAACTAGAATTTTTTTTGAGCTGCTGTTTTTGCTAAGTTTCTGATCAGTATTTTGAAGGGTAAGTGGTGCTTTTGGGGTGCTCAAATAATGTGCGAACCAGTCCTCAAATTTCAATCAAATCGGCTCGCAAAGACTAGCTCAACCGATTTTAGAAACCCAAGAATTTAAAGGCGGTTTGGCTAAGGTGTTTGTGGCGGTTTAGGTTTGATTTTGAAAACTGATTTGGGGGTGTTTGGGGCTGGTTTGGTAGTTTGGGATCGTTGGAATTCAATTAAGATTGGAGACTCAAGAATTGAAAACCAATCAAGATTTGGAGACTAATCAAGAATTGGAAACTCAAGATTTGGAAAACTTGATTTCCTTTATGTGAGAGCCGATTCCTTCTCTTCTTCCTTTTCTTTTTTTCATTCTCCTTTTTTTTTTTTTGCTTCGACTCTTCAAGGAACACAAATTCAGGTCACACCAACAAGTTCAAGATGACAAATGAAAGGTTAAGCAAATTTCAAGAAGACCCTAGTTCTTGATTTATTGTTCAAGAACTTTCAAAACAAGATTTAGTGGTCCAAGAACTTCAAAAATTTAGTTTAAGAAACTCAAGAACTTCCCCAATTTATGTTGTGGTGTCCAAGGTTTACAAGAACAACAACCAATATTCAAGAAATAGGCAAAACAGAATTTCAGCAATATTCAAAAGAAAATTCCAGCAATATTCTAGCAACTTGGACACTAAAACAATATAAGGTATGTGACTTTTTTTTTTTTTTGTCTTAAACCCTAACAATCCAAATCACAAGTATAACAGACCCAAGAACTTGGACAGAAAACACAAAAGACAGCACCCAAACAGATTTTTTTTTGACTCGAATGAACAATAACGTGAACAGTACGCTACAGTACAATGAACAGTATTCGGTACAGTATTGATGAACAGTAATCGCTACAGTATTTTTTTTTCTTTTTTGACAAAAGACACAAACTAACAAGATATGAACAACTTCAATTAAAAGAGAATTAACCTAGCTCTGATACCAACTGATGAGCAACTCTAGGGAAAGACTCTCCTAGACCCTTCCAACCTTGTAATTATCAGAGTTGGATTTTTTCTCCCAATGAAAATTGAACTCGGTTGTTCTCATGAACTTAAGACCTCTGACACACAAAGGTAATCAGCAACCTTAAGCAAATAAAGATGGATGAAGAGACACCACGATTAGGGAACAAACTAATCGATAAAGTCTGATTTGAATTCTAAACTATAAACTCAAGAATTCAAGAGTAAGTTCGATTAAGAACTTGAAGGAAAATTCCTCACGATTTTTGGTTGTAGCAATCTGTCTTTCACTCATATAATAGGTGCCTTTTATAGGCTAAAACTAGGGCAAATCCGGCACATAAACCTGGAATAGGAATTCGGTCCGCATAAAGAGCCGGCTCTTTAAGACTTCCCGATAAGACCCAATAAGTAATAAAAATATTCAACAACTAACAATTACTAAACTAGGCAGTCTTAAACAACTACCAACTAGGCTAACAAATATGAGGTCATTTTTTCACTTCAAACGTACAAGTGAACAGGGTAATTTCATGGTCCATCAAATTTTCAAATTTAACTTGCTCCTTGCTCGTATGGTGAATGATCAAGGCTCGTAAATCTTCTTTCACCTTCTTGGATCTTGATCTTGTCATCGGACCACCAATGTTGATCAAAGGATCCTTGACCCAAGGTTGAAGTTGTTGTGCACCCGTATCCGCATCATAATGTTTCTTCTAAATCAGCAATATGGCCCTTGTCTCAAGTATCTTGTAAACTTTGTGCTAGTGGTTATGCTTGTTCAGTTCATTTCTTCTTGCTTAACAGGCAGGCACTGCTGCCTACTTTCTGCTCATTAAATAGTTTCGTCTCAAGAAGGTCTTCATTCATTTTGTAATTGCTGTCTATTTTCTAGATTGCGGATGTATGGTCCATTGGTGTGACATTGTACGTGATGTTGGTGGGAGCTTATCATATTCACTTAATTGGATTTTTGTTCAGTATGATTATTCATTCAAATTCAATAGTGTATGCTTGTAATGGCATTTTTTTTTACTGAAATCGATTCTAATGCATATGATACTTTTCTTTCAATGCAGTACAATGCTATTAAATGCTCTTGAGGAGGTGAAAAAGGTTGGCTTTTGGATATGCTCATGAAGATGACTTCAGTTTGACATAAATTGCTGCTTTAGTCTATGTTTTTGTTTGGAAAGAGTACTTTGTTTTTTTGGATGCGTAATGGCTGTTACTAGTTGAACTGGTGTGAATTTAGTACTCTATTGTTTGGATGGATAATGGCTGTTAGTACTTGAACTAATGTGGGCTTTGGAACCCATTTTGGTTAATGTGTGTTGTGATGCATTTAGAGATGTTTATAACCATATATATATATATATATATATATATATATATATTTGAGGGTTCATTGTACATTAATTACTATCGTTTTTTGCATTAGTCGAGCCACAATTTTCTGTTATGGTTGTTGAAAATGCAATAGAATTGCAGCTCTTGTAAACAAAGTTGTAAGTTCACTAAGTGACGATTATTCTTGTCACAAAATACTAGGAGTGAGAGTGACAAGTTCAAGTTGTCACTGTGCGCATTCAAATTTGTGACGACTTCTGCTATCTTTTATGACAAAAAAATTTTGGAAACAGTGACAAGAAACTTCGTCACAAAATACTATTCTTTAGTGACGACTTAGTCTTCGTCATTAAATAATAATATTTAGTGACGACTTTGTAGATGTTGTCACACGTACCCATTTGTGACATAGAATTAGTGACAACGATGTGACAATGGAAAAAGTCGTCACATTACTCATATAATGACGACTTTCTAATTTTTAGTGATGACTTTCTATTGTCACAAAAGGCCAAATTTTTTGTAGTGCCTCTAACCCAGTTTAGGTTTTGCTTGATCATTTTGGTAGCCAACATGGACCTTTAGTCACCATTGCTCTAGCTATCGACTGTATGGTCCTAATGCAATGCTCCATTCAATTTCTTCCATGGTTTTTGTTTATCCAAAAACTTTTATTTCTGTAATATACCTATATTCATGTTATCCATTTCCTTGTAAATATTTCGTAATTTTATGCATGTAATAAATGTTCAATGTTAGTTGTAAGATGTGTTTTGGCATTAATCCTTTATTAAACTTGATTTTCAAGTTTCTAGAGTTTTCGCATCTTGTGGAGAATTTCATGATTTCAATTCTAGATTGCTCCAAACAACGTTTAGCAGGTCTTTGCAAAAAGTGTCATAGTTATCATACCATTTGTTTTATCATATAGCTTAATAAATAAAAACCATATGATAGAATAATAATGAGATTGTAATTAACAAAAATGGGAGTGCAAATAACATTTTCTGCTGGAAAATTGTTAAGATTATTGCTTCAAATTGAGCCATTTTATCCACTTACTAATTCGTTTTGGTTAATTTCTGAGATGGCATAAACCTTTTGAAGTTATTCGAAATTCAACTTCTAAGTAATCAGTAAATGATCTTTGATCATGGTATACAAATAGAAGCATCTGAGTTGGACTAAGCAGCAACTTCTCTCAAAACATTATTGGTTGCATTTTCTCCAAAAATAAAGTGCAGATGTAATGGCATATTAGTAACTAATTAACATGTAATGGCACATTAGTAACTAAGTAACCAAGAATGAAGTTTATTAATCTGTAGTAAAAAAAATCAGGGTACAATATTTTGCTTGAGGATAATGAGGATAAAGACTAAAAATAAGTTTTGCACACGTGAACTAGTGCTTTGCATAGTTTTAGTTTTTTAGATTAAAATCATCCTTCTTTTTAATAGTTAATTAGTTAGCACTTGAGTTATTAATCCTTATTGTTTAAAGTTAACTATTATTTTGCTTCTTTATTTGGAAATATAATTTAACAAACACATACTATACGTGACAAAAGTTCGTTCAATAATTGAAAAAAATTCTTTAAATGTCCTAAATACATTGGGTATCAAATTTGTCGTTAACAAAATGTTAGGTTCTAAAACTACGCATATACTAAACATTGAGAACAATATTTGCTTTTGCCAGAATTTTAAGGACTAAAACCGCATAGCAACTAAAAGTGCACTTTTCCCAAAAATTATAAAACCCAATCCAAAAATTTCAAAAAACCAGCTATAAAGTCATTCAACAGCATATGCGTATCAAAACTCCTGCCAGTATGTGCTGTCTAGCCTTCACGCTGAATTCGAACAATCATTTTTCAACCACAAAACCGCCACCACCTCCACCACCGTCATTCTCCCTTTCCCCACCATCCTTCTCCTCCTAGTGACCATATTCAACACGACAACATGTCTCTTTACTGGTAGACGTGGAACATAAAGGTGAGGCCCAATACTTGGAGATTTGTGTTTGAAATTATGGCACTATTAGAATAATAGTGACTGAAAATAAACTAACTTTTTTAAACATGTAGCATTTTGAATGTAATACTGCATGTAGTTTTGTTTGCTATTTGAAATTAGTATTAAAAGTTTGTTTTTGTTGATCATTAGAGCAATTGTTGCTTTGAATCATTAATTTCTCCCTCGTTGCGTTTGAATTTGCGATAAATATTTTTTTGGCAACAAATCCTTTGATTGTTGTGTGTTAAACCTATGCTTTGCTAGTAGTAATAGATATTAGCAATTGACATAAAATGTCAAATAGTACTCATTTTTACTCTAATTTTCCTCGAATTCGGTAACACTTATTGTTACTCCAAATTTCTCCTATTACCATAGTTCCAAGAATGGGTACTATTCAACATGTGTTGATTCAACGTTTAAAATGAGTTTTTAGTTTCAAGGTAGTACTAAAATAAGGTTAGTGGGCCATGGATAATTTAATATTTTTTGTAATTTTAGTTTTACTAGTGCTAAAGGCACATGCGAATAAATTTTATATAAATTGTCGTTACTAAAGGAAATTGTGGCATTTTAATGTTTACTCCCATCAAATGATGGTTTTAGTAGTTATAATGTTAAAAGAGTTAGACACTGTCATTTTGTCAAGAAGTGTTTAAATTAGTTATGGTTAAAATAGTTATTAGGTAGTTATTTTAGCAATTTGTGCTTAGGTAGTATAGTAATAAGTAATGACAAAAATGTTTACCCCAAACCCCCCACCTCTCCCTTTACATATACTCCTTCTGTCCCAAATTTAGAGGCGTTTTTTGGGACTGTAACTTTTTATGTACAGTAGATTATTAATGCCATCTGATGCTTTACTTCTAAATTTACCCGGTAGAAATACATTAGTAAGCTAAAGTTTGTATTTTTCAAAGAGTCATAATTCTATGGGTCCTATCTCAATCAAGTGCATCTCTTCATACATTAAAGACATGCACCAATATTAACCTTATAAAGTGGGAGTTGTCTTACACACTCTTTTAGCTTCTCTAAATGAGAATAAATTGTGGGTCATACTAAATTTCTTAGGATATTTTTGCACATGCACTATAAGGGTAAGAATGGAACTGTGGAAGGGAAAAGCATGGCTCTAATTTTGGGACAATAAAAAGATGAAACATGACATTAATAACGGGACGAAGGGAGTAGTATAGATATTGTGAACTTTTTCTCCTTTTAGGAAAGTTGATTTCAAACCTTTCTTCATGTAACTCTATTTACATGGCTTAATTTAGATATGGTAATGAGTAATTAGTAATCCATCTTGATAGGAACAAAATATCTATATTTTGTGGGAATTTTTCTTGCTTTCGACTATAATTGGATTCTAGTGATATATGCTTATCTCTTAGTGCTTCCACCTCTGTTATTCAACAACTATTTATACCACTAACAAACTATAGTCATAGGAAAAGCAAGTACTGTATTTTGTTTTCAACTTTTTCCATTATGTTAATCGATTCTTATTAACTAAAACTATTGTGGCATCATTAGGTAGATATGATGGAGCAAGGCATTATTTTTTTTTTCTAGTTGCATTTAGTCACTTATGATCATGCTTATCCTTTTTAACCTAGCTACAATTGAAACTGCTATTGAGATGATAAGTTATGGATCCTATTTTCTTTGATTCCATTGAACTAAACACTATTTTATTCTTGAAATAACCTTTGCACTTTACTAAAGTTCGAATCCACTTAATGATGCATTCGTACTATCATACTATATTAATTTTAAGTGTATTGTGTTTCTTTAAGTTGGATATGTTGACATTAAATTGTGCTTATGCTTTGCTTTTTTGTTTTAAATAATTATCTTTCAGTCTTTTCCTTTTTCATGATGGTTAGTTATATGCTTCAAGCTGAGGATAATATGGATCCTATTAAATAGTAATTCTGCCTTTTGGCCAATCTACTTGTGGAAGAGTTAGAATGATTATTTGTTATGTACCTAATATCTGCTAGTAGATCATGCACTATATAGTCCTAGTTATTCTCCTTTTGACTATTTAACCATGCGTAAATTCATATTGTATTGAATGATTATCTTCTTTTATGTTTCTTCACTAGTTGTTCCTATTTACAAATTGATTAATGCAATATTATAGCATATCTGATCCACACAGTTATATGCATGACATCTTGATGCTAATACTATAGGAGGTTGAGGAGATCCAACTCTAAGTTTTATTAAGCTTGCGGTGTTTAATAAGGAAAAAGCGACTAACTATAATCCTATATATATTTAACAAATAAAAATTCATGCATGCTTGATTCTGGTTCCACTTTCTTCCCAGAAAGCTGCTTTTCTGGCATAAATAAATTGTTATTGTAGCAAGTAAATATTTCTTCCTTAATTATCTTTGAAATTAGATGGATACCATCTTCCATCATTTCTTTTTTAAAATTATTATTATTTCTTTCGTCTTGTAGGCATATCTATTATGATCTCCATCAATATGACCTTCTCAAAGTTGTACACTCTTTGCATACTCTGGGAGGAAGTCCACAAGAGATTGTGAGTTTTTCTTTGTTCTGATCAAATTTCTTTAAAAGGAAAACATTATTTTCGAAGGACTATCCCCAATATTGCTCAGTGTAATGCACTAGATTTGAAATCTTGAGAGCCTCTTTGCTTGCACTAGCTTTTGACAGGATCATGCTTAGACATGTAAACTAATTTTGATTGATTTTGCAAGAAGGACATCCTCAAAAGATGGCTAAGAGGCAGTCCAAACAAATGCTAAGAAATTCAATGAGACTTCTTCCTTGGCCATCGGTAATGCAGTGTAAGTCTTTCATTAACTCTTTTTTTCATATGAAGGTGATCTTCTTTTTGCTTGCTCTATCATAATCGGGTCATGTCAGGTCGTAACTTTTGACTCTTAATTGTTATCTCTGTGAAGTGTAAATATTGCAATTTGTTATTGTTTGACATCAACTTGATTTGCACAAAGGCATAGGTTAGGAGTCTGTTACAGTGACAGAAAATATGAATAACTTTTGATTTGAAGTTTGAAATATGGTGTAATAGGTTATCTTCTTCCTTTGACCATGAGAGACCCAATACAACCTGACTGTGAGATGAAATATAACTGATGAAAAATTCCAAGAAGCTAAACTATGCATAATTACTACTATCAGTTTTCTAACCATAATTTTTTCTTATTGGGAAGGCTGAGGAATTTTCCCTATTACATTCTAAAGGAGTGCCCTTGAGCTTCATAAAATTTACATCGATAAACTTTTATAAATGCTGCATGTCCCTAGTGCTTTTGTTTTGAGGGAATTTTTTATCCCTTTTCCATCTGACGTAGTTGCACAAATTTCTATTAGTATTTTTTAAATTTCCATTCATGTTTAGGCTACTAGGGAGAGAGTGGATAATTGGGTATTTGGCAGGTAGGTCTTAAATTAATCGCATAATATTATTTTTTGACCCAAACACTTGGTAGGAGGTCTGTTTCAGCTTATCAATTTCATCTCCTATTTTAAAGAAGGTGGAGTTTTGTGACTTGGATATTGAGATAAGCTGAAACAGAGATGAAATAGGAGGAATGTCATTTTTTCTTTTTCATTTGAGCTTGTGGAGTAAATCTGCCTCTTGGTGAAATTTTTTAGGAAAAGATATAGTTTTTTTTTAAATGCTTATTTGTTTCATAGGTTTCATCCTTGTTCCACGAAAGAGATGTACCTGTCTTTGTTTGACTTAGATCACTTATGTTCAATAAATTCCTAGACTTTTATCTAGACACTCAAATATACTTTTCACAAATTTAAGTACCATACCAATTGATTTTAGTATCAATATGGAATAAATTCTAGTGCATGGGAGTTTTGCAGTAAAGTGGCATGCATCCTATACATGTAAGTACATCGCTTATTGGCTGTCATTATTGTGGTTCATATGTAGTAAATCTAATTTTGTTATAGACCTTAATACGTACAAGCCTCACTTGTTTTAGATACCCTGCAATGTATTTTGCAGACTTTGATTTTTTATCAACATTTTATTTTCATGTGTGTTGTATCTAGACGTGTCTTTCGTTGTTTGTGTACTTCTTGCAAGGAAGATAGCTTTAGTAGATTTTATATCTTGTTAAGCTAGCATCTTAGCCAAAAGAAATTGATTGCTAGGAATTGGTTGCCCCTGATATCCATCTTACGTGCTCTTCCTAAATTCAAGATATCCATATTACAACATTTTCTTTTCTGGTATGTTGTATCTATGTGCGTCTTTTGTTGTCTGTGTACTCCTTCTTGTAAGGAAGATAACTTTAGTAGATTTTACATTTTGTTAAACTAGCATGTTAGCCAAAAGAAAGTGATTGTTGGAAATTGGTTACTTGTGATATCCATCTTACACCATTTTTCTAAATTCAAGATATCCGTAAAAGAAATCAATTCATGATTTTCTTTCATGAGAGGGAGAATACCGATTGTGTTTGTTTTCATAATTGTACAATAGTTATATCCCTAGTATGCTTATAAGAGTTTAGAATAAAAGAGCTATCTTTAGTGCTTATATTAATTTACAGACATGAGAACCTAGAAACTATCCATTAACCTTCTACAAGAAAAAACCCTGTTATAATGGTATATTTTCCCCTTGTATCACAAGTATACTTCTGAACAATGTTATGATCATGTCTAGCTTATCTTTTGCTAACTAAGGACTAGTTTTACTTCGAGTATATCAAAACCAGTTACCGGCTGCTATTTTATGCAATCAAACTAGTGGCCCAAAATACAATGGGTGTAGCTAAACTCTTGCCGCTTGCCAATCAAACAAATAATGTACAATATAATAGTTTTCAATGTGAATATTGTTTTCCAAATGAGTTATAAAGAAGATATTGAACTGCAAGAGTGCTATTGAGGATTAAAGACAAAAACTAATGGAGTTGTCAAGGCACTGACACAAGTTTTCCGTGGTTCCCACTTGCCGTAACACTGTATTTGGTAGTTAAGAAGAAGAAGAAATAGCCAAAAAAAAAAGGCGTGACTAGGGGTGAAATCGAGCCGAGTCGAGCTCGAGTAGTAGCCTACTCGAGCTCGAACTCGACAACATCCACCAGGAATCGAGCTCCAACTCGAGCTCGATCGAGCTCGAGCAATGAAGATCGGGATTGACTCGAGACAAGCACGAGTAAGATCGTACTCGACTCGATCGAGCTCGAGCTCGAGTCGAGTACTCGAACTTGACATGCATCCGATCGAAGCAACAACAGCAACAACAACAACATCAGCCCTACTTCCCCTCTTTCTCTCTTTTTCTTCTTCTTTCTTTTCTTTCTTCTTCCTTTTCTTTCTTTTTCTCCTTCTTCTTCCTTCTTTTCTCCTTGTCCGCCGCCGCCACTTTGCACCCCGCCAGATCGCCGCAAGCCACACTGCCGCCCATCGCGCCTGTTGCCCAGCCGCGCCTCGCCACCAGCAGCTCCTTCTCATGCAACCCCTGCGCGACTCAACCGCAGTCGCCCCCTTGCGAGCAGCCTGCCCCTTGCGCTCCAGTTCACCTCCAGGCAGATCGAGCAGCAACTCAGCCGCAGCAGTCCAGCAGCAGCTGCGCACGATGCGCAGTCATCCGCCAGCGCGCGACGCCCTCTCCTCCACGGCGTGCGCCAGCAGCGCGCAAGACTCAAGAGCTTCCTCTAAGTCAAGACTCAAGAGCTCAGAAACCATTACAAGTATTGCAGCAGCAGCAGCCCCCAATTTTTTTGAGTTGTGACAATTGAGATTTGAGAAGATGAGCCAAAGACTGAGATTGGGATTTGAGAGGTAAGCTGAACTCTGAAGACTGAAGAGGAACGAAGAAGGCGAATGAAGGACAGAGTTTGCAATGCATTTCATCGTTTTTAGTTTACGAGCCAAAATTACTTATTCACCCTTCATTATTATTACAACATAACTGGTTAAGCCCGTAAATATTCTAACTAACAAACCTAAAAGAGTAAATTGATATATAAAATATACAAATAGGCCACCAAGCTCGAGCTACTCGACGAGTTAAAATTTCTTGCCATTAATTACTCGAACTCGACTCGTTTTACTGTAGCAAGTAGCTCGAAATCGCCTCGAGCTCGAATTTGCTCGAGCTCGATTCGAGTAGCTAACCAAGCTACTCGCGAGCTCGATTCAAGCTACTCGAATTCTCTGCACCCCTAGGCGTGACCCAATCCATTTAGGTTTTTGACAGCTTTTAACTAGACTATAGATTGGGCTACCAAAAACAAAAGAAAGTGTGCATTATCTCCTATTTGCAATAGGAATGGTTTTGTTTATTAATAAGGAAACTAATTCATAATATGCACTTTAGGAAAGCTAATCATTTTGATATTAGTATCATCCATAAAATAATAGCCAAAGGTGGTATTGTCATTATTCTTTTGCTTACGAGCTTAGCTCCAATTCAATTTAACAAAATTTTGGTGAAGCAAAAATTTGTCATTTATTCTCTCATCGCTGTCAATCAGATAAAACTTTTCCATGCTGATCTCCACCTGTCTATAATTTCCACGTGTGCTGTAGCTTATCTTTCTGCCAGCTGCATTCAAACCACTATTTTACGTTTCGAATCTTTACTCCATCCATTGTCCTTTTCTTATCATTTTCTCACATTTTGAGTAGATACTGGATGTGCTTTTCTAGATAATCTGGGCAATGGAGGGAAATGTTGCTATCAGAGGATAGAGTGATGCCATAGTGATAAGGTTTTTTGCTTATAAATGTATCGTTATTCTGTGATGTCTACAATTCGTTTGAGTAGTTGACAATGATTAAATTGTCTGTAAGAGTAGCATAAGGATTTTTGGAATTAAGGAAGTTCTTTCCTTTGCTTGGGGGTTCAAGCAAATTTTCCTTGGGATGTAACTGAAGAAAAAAAGGCAAACTTATTAGTTTATGAATTTGCATGATTTTGAAACATTATTCTACTTCAAATGTCTTGATTTCTTTGCAGTCTTTGGAGATTTTTTAATCCATGTTAAACCTTGACTACTGAATGTGTAGACTTTTAATGTCCTTACACTCAGCTGTATTGATTTGTCTCTAGTCTCCATTTGCTAAATTGTTTTTGGGACTGAGTTGTTTGACTGCTTGATTTGTTAAACCTTTTTAGGTGCTTTATAGTCTATGTCCATCAAGTATATGCATTTTCGAAATAGAAGAATTTAATCAACTTCATTTGGTCCAAGTACAAAATCATTGATCTCTTACTTTTCTTGCTTTCTTTCTTCTTAAGTTTTAGAGGAAGTGTTATGAAAGTTATGATGGCAACTAGTTTTGATATGGTAGGTTGTCGATTCCTAACTTGGATCCAGAAAATTGTAATACATATGTTAAGTCACATATCATTGCAACTTATTTGCGGCTTGTTTAGTTCATGTGAAAGTTACATAGTCAATTTTAGCATGAACACGACATATCTGATATATATTTGAATTAACTCATACAGATTCTGGAGTTAATCATCTTAACGTACGATCAAGGTGAGTTCTCTATTTTGTGGAATGCTCTTCATACAACATACCAGATGCGAAGTCCCTTCATGACTTTACAAAAATTTTTATTCCCTTTTTCTTCATTCTCGATCAGAAAACTACAACTTCACTAAACCTTCAATCCCAACATAAGAAGATGTCAAACACTGAGAAAGTCAAGTACAGTGAACACCTGATGCAAACCACAAAATTCATATCCCAATCCGATGTGAATGCTTATCCTAAAGTTCTCGGGATCTTAGTAACTGATCCCCACTACACTGATTCTTCCAGTGATGAAGAGGGCAGCACTAGTCATCGCTATAGGGTCAAAAAGTACATCAATGAGATCATATTCAAGCACCTCCCTTTTGAAGAAAATTGTAACAATGATGGGAACGTAAAAGAGAAACCTAGCAACAGAAATGTAGCGGGGAACAAGAGAAAAAGAAAAGGCACAGAAAAAGCGGAGTCTAAAGATGAGAGCAAGCGTAAGAAGTTTCGTGGTGTGCGTCAGCGGTGTTGGGGCAGCTGGGTAGCTGAGATAAGAGATCCTATTAAACAGAAACAAGTGTGGCTTGGCACTTATGATACAGCAGAAAATGCTGCAATAGCTTATGATCGTGCAGCTATTCAGTTTCGTGGAACCAAAGCAATCACAAACTTTCTCCCACCACCGCCAGTTAAAGATGAACTCTCAAGCATCACAACTAGAGCTGTTAATCGAACTGGGTAGCTCGCGAGCCGAGCTCGACCCGGCTCGATAAGGGCTCGACTCGGCTCGTTTACTGAAAGAAACGAGCCGAGCTCGAATTCAACTGGATACTCGTTTAATAGACGAGCCGAGCTATGCTCGACTCGTTTGAGCTCAACAGGCTCGAATAGTAGGGGCATTAGCATCATTTCATTGTGTATTTGATACTTTAACCTAATGTTTAATTGTTTGGCTGATGTTTAATTGTTTGGACTCTTTTATGTAATTTTTCATTTTGTTATCTGATCTGGGCTGATGTCGAGTTTGGACATTTTGTTCCTCCATTTGGTAGTTTTCGCAGCAGTTTTAACTTCTTTTTCTATTTCTTGGTCGTGTCTGCCTTGCATTGTCATTTGTCCATCAATTGCATGGTATATAGGCTTCGGGAACTAGTGTGTGGCTGGGTAACAATAGGATTATTTGTTTACATAATAATCTGTTAAGCTCGGCTCGATAGGAAACTCGAGTTCGATCTCGAGCTCAAGTTTTCTACCAAGTACACCGAGTCGATCTCGAACAGCTTGTGAAGCTTGAATTACTAATCGAGCGAGCTCGTTAGAGGTTCGAGTCGAGCTCGATTATCATCACGTGCTCGAGCTCGACTCGGCTCGTTTAACAGCTAATTCACAAGGCAAGCTCTCCCCCCTAACCCAGTGTAGGTTTTGCTTGATCATTTTGGTAGCCAACATGGACCTCTAGTCACTATTGTTCTGGCTACCAACCGTATGATCCTAATGCAATACTCCATTCAGTTGCTTCCATGGTTTTTGTTTGTCAAAAAACTTTTATTTTTGTAATATACCTGCATTCATGTTTATCCATTTCCTTGTAAATATTTTGTAATTTTATGCATGTAATAAATGTTCAATGTTAGTTGTAAGATATGATTTGGCATTGATCCTCCATTAGACTTGATTTGCAAGTTTGTAGAGTTTCTGCATCTTATGAAGAATTTCATGATTTCAATTCTAGATTGCTCCGAGCGACATTTAGCAGGCCTTTGCAAAACTTTTTATAGTTATCTCTTGGCTTGTACACAAGGCTGACAGATGATGGCACACTTGAAATAGGTGATTATCAAAAAATGGAGCTGCATAAGCTATTTCCATTTATGTCAAACATTAATGGTTTTCAACTAAAATTCTGATTCATTAGCTTGCTCTTTCCAAGCACGGGTGGAGACTCTGTAGTTGTTATTTGTTAAGACATGGTAGTCATCCTTCTGACTAAAAGCATTGTAGTGATGGAAGGACATAAATCACATGATAAAGATTTCAATAGCCAAAACTTTCCCATAATAAAATTCGGAAAACTATTTTAGCATTCAAAATACCAAGGCTAAAACTTATCAGGTGAAATTAATACTTATTTCAAAATAGTTATATTTATCTTTAAAGGGTTGCCCACGAAAACTATTCATAAAAGGTCTCTAATTGTAAGGGACCAAATTTATAGATTTTGGAACCTTTTTTGGCATTTAGTTTTTCAGAAACGAAGTAAAACACAACTTAGGATATCAAGGAATTTTGGGTTAAATAGTCTCTGGAATCAGAATAGAATGGACATTATTTGCATGTGGTGCAAAATTGTTATACAATTCATTTGCAATTAATACGGAGAAGAATGAGAAAACAATGAAAAAACAGAAAAATTGTTAAACATTTAAACATGATGGACAGGAATAGTTATACAATTTGGCAACGTTCATGAATTATCTTTATAGCAAATGAATGATGTCTTAATTTGACAAAACCATGACTTTTATTTATATGTTTGGTATTATGGATGGTATCTTAACATATAGTAGTTTCAGTGTTCATAAGAGCATTTACTATTTTCCACTAGAAGATCATATTTCAAAGCATGGAGGTGATTGCTACTCTCTAAACTTATAATCATGTTAAATTCCATTCAGAATCTGAATTATATTTTGTTTGGTAAATCCTTTGGAGCATGTTCTCATGGAATTAGAATAGAAAATGTCAGCTTTACTGAATCAAATTAAACCTTTGTTTTTCACCAAAAAAGAAAATGATAGATAGAAAGAAATAAATAAATCCATGATCTAGGTCAAATTACATTTGTTAAAACAAAAATTTATTGCAATTTTATTATTGTCAAGTGACTTTAACTACAAAGTACATATATGGCATGCAACCATTTTAAGGTCACCTTTTTTAAAGTTTTGGGATGTGAATGATAAACTTCAATATCATAAAATTATAAGTATTAGTACATTATTATGAATAAATTCCATGAATATGAATGTCCATTAAGATGGATACATGCATTCTACCTAGATACATTTGGTACATTAATCAATTCTTATAATTACTAAATACATGTTCTTGAAGTTGTAGATCTACGAATTATCATTAAGAAAGTTCATGTATTTCCTAGCTTGATCTCCCTATAGACAGAGGTGATCCTTACTTCATTTGTAACCTTGAAGTTTTGAAACAACTAGTAGATGAAAGTATAAAATTCTCTCTACTTCTTGTTTATTTTCTTCCTCACAATTTCTTCACATTCTGTCACTTTGTTAATATATAGTTCAACTTACAACAACTACAAACCATCACGAATTAAAGGGATATAATAGCATTAGTTTCACAATATACATCTAATTCAAGTGCATGCAAAGAACTTCCTACTTGCTCAGCTGAAAGCTTTGCATGGGCTTGGTTTACTTGCACCAATTGAGGGATGCGTCTAATGCAACATAGGAATGAATTGATAAGGATTCACTAGGGGTGGCAATTCCTGACACGACCCGAAAACACGACACGAACCTAACACGAAATTAATGGGTTTGGGTTGAGGTTTTGAGAGTTCGGGTCAGAATCAGGTCGAACCTGATGAACCCGAAAAGAAAACAGGTCAATTTCGGGTTAACCCGTGGTGACCTGATATGACCCGATGTGACCCGTTTATGAATTAAAACTAATTTAATAAACATAAAAATTATTTTATCTAACTAAACTAAATCATTTTTTTTTCCAAAGGCATTATTTACTTAATCCAAAATGAATTTATTTAACTTGTGTGAAGTTAAAATTATTATATTTGGACAAATAATATATTATGTTATTTTTTACTTTTATGCTGTTTTAATTTATTTTATATTTGATTTGGAATAAAACACTTTTATGGTGTTTAATTTATTTTAGATTTGGTTTGAAATTATTTATTTAAATTTTTATTACTTGATGATGTAATTAATTTTGTGAAAAATTGATTTTATTAGAAATTACAGTGATAAATTAATAAATTAAAATTAAGTTTCGGGTCATTTCGGATCGACCCGCCAACCCGAAATTTTCGAATTTGTTTCAGGTACCCTGACCCGTTTCGGGTTGGCGGGTCGGATTCGGGTCAGCAGGTTCTTTGTTATACTTAAGCCTCAACCCGACCCGCGCAACCCGAACCCGACCCGATTGCCACCCCTAGAATTCACTAATTTAGCCCGGTTACAAAAGATTTCCAGCTGCAATGTTTGGACACTTACCAGCCATGCTTTTTATTAAGTGCTCTGACCATTGTAAACAAGAATAGAAGAAGCACAAAGAAATTGGAAATTTGGTCTCAGATTGGCCATTGTCCAGAGTTCTTTCGTGGATTGCTCAACTTGATCGTTTTAGTTCTGATATTCGGCGACAAGATTTTTTGCCAACTCTAAAATGATATATCCATTACTATTACTTTCCACTTGTATTTTATGGCACATCCAGCAGGGTAGGAATTCCAATTTGGGGGAAATGGTTCCTGGTCCTCCCTCAGCAAATTTTTGCATCCGAAGGAGAGAGAATCAAAACTATCTAAAACTTATACAGGAGAAAGCTCCATTCCCTTTAGTCGATGTTGTCTCTCCCTTTCCATTTTTATTTTTTATTAAACAATAGAACTAATCCTTTAACAACCAATGAGTATGGTAACTACCCTTAGCTATCCATTGAACTAACAAACAAAAGAGAGCACTCCAATAAGTCAAATGTACTTCTATAGAGTACCATGTTAAGTTCCATGAATTTAGTTAGCAAGAAGAATTACAATCATCCGTCAGAATTTTCATCTAAAAGGGATCAATATCATCCCTTTTCCTTGCAAGATTTTTCCAGCCCACACAGTATTAGGTATATTTTCCCGAGGACAAAGCACTGAAACCTTGATCATGGAGCAAGTCTTTGCGGGTCACGGGGGAAAAGTGATGTCTTACGAACATTGTTCAATGCACAATAAAGCATAACCACACGCTCCAATCCTACTCCAAAGCCACCGTGAATAGGTGCACCACATCTGCACAGGCCAATGATGAATTTATGAACTTTAACATGGTTCAAGTATGCTTTAGCATCACTAGATATAAAAAGTGAACCCAAGTTGACGATTGTGCATGTCAATTTCTAATTTTCATTCAGAAATTAAAAATCCGCTCAATTTGACACCACTGGTAGCAGCAAAATTTAAGATCAGCTAGCTTTAAAATTCTCCATATAAAAATATAGATGGTGATGCATTTCCTCTTGCAAGAAGAGAACAGAAAATATTGTTTCCCTTAGCAGAACAGATCTAAAGAATGAGCAAGATAAAAGTACAAAAGATACCTAAATGAATCAATATATGTTGATATTGTCCTGACATCAATGCCACATGATTCAGCACGTTGAGCCAACAACTCAGGTGCATGGACACGTTGAGCTCCAGATATAATTTCTTCACCTAATAATTAAGACATGAATGAGAAGTCAAGGCAAGAAAACGAGGCAGTACCTAAAGAGTAAGAAAACGGCAATCTCCCTCTTCTTCCCCCACCCCTCTTCCCTAATGAGCCCTCAGTCCCAGCAAGCACTAAGCATTCTCTTCCCAACCAATCATAACTTCTCTCTCTGCCAGAAACTCCATGCCAATCCTTAAAATCTTTGATGTTTTAGTCTCTTGGACAAGAGTTCATAGGTGACTACTCACAAATATTATAATGCATT